CATCGGTTAGTTATTAAAACGTTTTTTATTAATTTTTTTTTCAGTATTTTACATGTTTTATTTACAATAGAGTTACATGACTAAAAACCATTGCGCGCCTAGCTACTGAACGTGATGACGCAGGCATTGAACGTGATGGCGCAGCTATTGAACGTGATGACGCGTATGGTGTGGTTGGATAAACATGCCTATTAATTCGGTCCAAATTTTAATTAATTCAAAAAAAATTTTGTGACCGAACTTCTTCTTTCTTCTTCTTCTTCGTTCTTAATTATTAGTGTTGAAGGGGATCGAGATTTATCTGCAAGTGGGTTTGAACTCGAGACTTTGTTCGAATTTATCAACCATGAGCTTTTTTGCCGACTCGACCACGCCTCCAACACAATTAAGCGTTACGTGTCAACTGGTTATGCGCCATTGAGGCCATTGACTCCGATTTTAACCTGCTTTTCTTTTTGGATATGCTTCCATAGCCTTTGTCCAACCAAGAACAAACTACAAGGCAGCAGTTGTTTAATTTTGGAGTTGTCTCTCCTAGAAGAGTGGCTGTCCCCAGCTAACGAGGCTCATCTGCCCGAGGGTTCGAACTCGAAACTTTTCGGTTTAGCAACCATGAGCTTTACCGACTCGACCACGCCGACCCCTGTGTGACCGAACGAAAGGATATTTTTGAAAACTTTCTTCGGCAATATTTTTCTAAATTATGGCAGGAATCGATTGGTAAATGTTTCAAATCGTTAAGTGGTCTGGTTGCCGAGATATGGGCCAAAAACTGCATTTTTTCGAGGTTTTTTGGGTTTTCCGGGAAATCCATGAAAGAAACCCGGAATTTTATAGCCTATGTTCATCCTCGTAACTTGCTTAAAATAATTGCTTTTGGAACTAGTCATCGATATTGCTTCGTTGAGGAGGAGATATAACTTAAAGCTGCGGACACACATCCATCCATCCATCCATCCATTCATTCATACATTCATACATCCAGAAATGACGGGTTAATAAACGCAATTCTCCAGAATGGAAATTGCGCTAAAAAATTATTCATTAATAAATTAGTCAACCAATTAAGTCACATTTAATGTCTTCAAGTCTTGACCGACGTGCCAACTTTGAAAATAATGCTTCAGTTAGAATAGCCCGAAATCTTGCTCGCTCGTTTCAATCCATGACGACGGACGGCAAACAGACGGTCGACAGACAGAGGAAGCAAGTTAAATACATCTTGTAAAAAGGGGAAGTAATTTAAATACAATATTGTAAAAATAAAACTAAATGCATTGCCATTCCGATAAATTATAATTTTGTATGAACAGTAATACAAATATGTTTTAAATACTACGTTTTAGTTATTTTATACACTAACTGTTCTGTTAACTAATTATAATAACAGTTCAGAAACTGCTCCTATACGTCCTCTATTTTCATGTTTATGTTTTCGTTTTTCTTTGCGTTTATGTTTGTGTCTAAGTACGCGTTTATTTCACCATTATTTTCAATGTTATTCTTTATGTTTGCATTACTGTTTATGTTTGCGTTTATGTTTTCATGTATGTTATGTTTATGATTACGTTATTTTTCGTAATTATATTTTACTTTAAAATTTTCGTTTGCATGTATGTTTGCGTTCATGTTTGCGATTAAGTTCATGTTTATGTTTTGAATTAAGTTTGTATTGGCGTTTATGCTTGCTTTATTGTTTATATTTGTGTTTATGTTAGCGTTTACATTTATTATTATGTTTACGTTTCAGTTTTTAATGTTTCCTTTTGCGTTTATGTCTGCGTTGATGTTTGCGTTTAATTTTGTGTTCATGTTTGCTTTTGTTTGTGTTTGCGTTTGTGTTTATATTTTTACAAACGTCCATATTTACATATAATTGAACATTTTGTTTATTCGCAAATCCTGGGGAGCTAAGGGAAAAGGCTACGTAATGAGCACTTAAGTCAAGGCCCTTTATTCGTTTAGCTCAAATGCCAGGGCCTGGCCAGTACGTATATATATATATATATATATATATATATATATATATATATATATATATATATATATATATATATATATATATATGTATATATATATGTATATATATATATATAACTTTTTTTTGTTCTTGTAGAGATAATGCACTCCAAAAATCAACGCCCGCCACCGAAAAAAAATGTAATGAAAAAAGGTGATATGAAACATTTACATTACCTTTTTTATTATTTGACGAATGGATCCGTATTTTGGTACATTTTAACCTAATCCCAACTTGGTACCTTACTCTCACCCTTACCCTTACCCTTACCCTTACCCTTACCCTTACCCTTACCCTTACCCTTACCCTTACCCTTACCCTTACCCTTACCCTTACCCTTAGCCTTACCCTTACCCTTACCCTTACCCTTACCCTTACCCTTACCCTTACCCTTACCCTTACCCGTACCCTTACCCTTACCCTTACCCTTACCCAAACCCTAACCCTAACCCTAACCCTAACCCTAACCCTAGCCTAAACCTTAACCTTAACCTTAACCTTAACCTTAACCTTAACCTCAACCCTAACCTCAACGCTAACCCTGGAGCAATTTTATGGCGTGCTTATAAATACTCAAATGTCTAGCTACAGAATTAAGTCAAAAGTGGCGTGGCTTAACTTTTCGCCCACACGCGGTTTGCATTGGTAATGGTAGCCGTGCTAAATACCCTAATCAGATTCATTAAAAATACGGTTATTTATTGGTATTTTCATAAAACTTATTTGATCTTTCTTTTTTTCTGACCCAAACAAATAAAAGTTTCTTAGTTGTCCGTATTTTCATTAGTGAATAATATAATAAATACAAACATTTATTTATTTATTTTCGAACGAATAAGTCTGTCAAAGGTATTCTAACAAAAATTTGTCATATTTGTGAAACTTAGATGAAATAAGAATAGCAACTTAATATATCATTAAAGATAGCCTCAAAATCAGAGGTAGCGAGGGCGGGGCGGGGGGGGGGGGGTGGGGTGCGGACCGAACCGGATGACACCATTTAGGGGATGACACCAAGGCAAAATGTACAGGAAAAATATGTTTTTTTTTTGCCAGTTCCATTAATGATCAATTAAAGTTGAATAGTGTTTTAAGTACAAATCGACAATTATTACCCAACTGTATTATTAACAGACTATAGATAAACATCGTTAATCTTAAGTCCGCAGTAATAAACGTTTATACACATACATGTACGCGTATTTGTCATATATTTAAACTATATATATATATATATATATATATATATATATATATATATATATATATATATATATATATATAATATTTATCTATATCTATCTATCTATCTATCTATCTATCTATCTATCTATCTATCTATCTATCTATCTATCTATCTATCTATCTATCTATCTATCTATCTATCTATCTATCTATCTATCTATCTATCTATCTATCTATCTATCTATCTATCTATCTATCTATCTATCTATCTATCTATCTATCTATCTATCTCTCTCTCTCTCTCTCTCTCTCTCTCTCTCTCTCTCTCTCTATATATATATATATATATATATATATATATATATATATATATATATATATATATATATATACACACTTTGTATCTTAGGGTGGGGGTGGGGGTGACACAACGAAGTGCCGCACCGGGGATACCCGAAATATCGACGCCACTGGTCAAAATATCAACAATACAGTGGAACAATTAGCGTGCGTTGGGATTTTCCACTATGGGAAGATTTTTAAAAAAAAATTATGACTGCATGGGCTTCGGACCCGCAACTTTTAATAATCGGGTCTAACTCGCAGTTGACTCTGCCAGGCCGCTGGATATACCTTTGGCAAAAATTTTGAGTTATTTTATTCTTATTATTATAATATATTTTCATCTATTTATATAATTCTCTACGTGAACACCACCACGACGAAAGTCGACTTTCTAACCCTCCTCCCGCCTCCTACCTCGCTCTCCAGGCATGCGCAACAGACCATATCGCACTCACCCCCACCCCCACCAGTCTGGTGAGCTGTGGTTCACGCCGAATGTTAACAATCGTAGAGCCTGGTCGAATTAGTGATGGCTTTTAGCGGCAGATAATTTAGATTTTAAACCATTTGAAACTAAGGGGAGGTAACAAGTTCTGCTTGATCTTTTCATTGTCGTCTGTAAACTGGGGAAAGGAGGGTAGTGTCGAATTTACTAATTACGAGTTACTAAAAAGTAGAAAATAAAACAACTACATAGTGGCGTATGTTGACCCGCGAGTCGGCTCGTAAACTATATTTTGCGTTATTTTACTTTCTTGCGGAGGTTAAGTTAGTAACTTAAAAGCATTTTCTCCAAAGGTAGGCTATATCTTAGTAGAATAAAATTAACAGTATTTAGATGTTCATACAAATGATCATCAGATGTAATATTTCATTATCTTCTCCAAATGTCCAAATGTATACCTACTTCAAGCAGTTTTACCAAAAAATTCTCCTGTTTCTTTTCAGAATTACGTGCACTCCTACTTCTACTACATTAGTGCCATGATTATTATAACAACTGCAGGAATAAGTTCGACATTTAATGGTTTTATTTGTTAATAAATAAACGAAATATCACTTCTTAGATCATCAAACCCTCTGCAATTTGTACAATTAAACATACAGGCGGCTGATCAGAAAGTATACTATAGCAAATGCAAGCGCTTTCCGCATTGTACGTGTACACACATTCAGAATTCTGTATGCAGTAAAGGTAATAAAGTAAGTAAACAGTGCAAACCATATTCTCAAACTAAATATGGCGGAACCTGTTACATGTTCAGCAGGTTATTATATAAGGATTTCTCATAATCCACGAGCGATAACGTTGAAGCTATACAACTCTACTTGACAGTATGACAACATGAGTAATAGCTGACGTGCTGTATATGTTTAGGCCAGCACAATGACGGTTATCAACAATAGACCTTACTTAACTGGCGCAGGGATCTACACAACTGCTTGTTGCATTGTTACTATAACGGTAGCCATCTCTACTAGTATCAGTAATCACCAGGACGACGACTACTCGGACACCAACTTCACCATCTTCACTTACCACTTGCCTGATGATGAAGACATAAACAACACAGCTGACTGGTTTTTCGGTTTCACAGACATGCCACCCGACGGAGACTTGAGCTATACTTCATATGACATCATTGGGGAGATGGAGAAAACAAAAGCTGTGGCTGCCGGCAAGTCTACAGTTCCAGAGAATAATCAAGTCGATGATCAAGGCGATATAGTCGAGCTATTTCTAGCCCAAGTTAACGACCAAAATAAAGCGAAATGTGCACCAGGAACGGAACACAATTTGGGATCTGGTGTCATCAAACAGTACGGCTTGAATAGATTTAAAGCACAGGCTCTGGTGGCTGTTAACAGAGCGAATCTTCTAACCCGGATCTGGAAAGAAGCGGAGAAAGAAATCTTACAGTCAGAGTACTTATTTTATACACTGGTAAGGTCCATAGTGGAGGGGGATCCGGAAATCTTTGCCGCTGGCAATTGTTACGATAAAAACGAGTTCAAAGATTATCACTTATTCTGTGCATATTCGTATAGGATGGAAGATGGTCGCATCAACGTGAAGGATCTTTCATTGGAATATGACTATTTGAAGAATACGTCTGACTGGTTTTACAGTGCACGACAAAAAGCTAAAGATCTAAAGAGGTTTAATGTAACAAAAGGTAAGAGGATCAAATTGCTAATTAGATTTATTTTGTTAATATGCAAGGTTTAATGTAAGATATTTGCGGGAGGTGGGGGGGGGGGGGAGGTGGGCGGTAGACTTTCTTCGGGGGGGGGGGGGTGACAGAGCGCCCCCCCCCCCCTAAGAGATGCCTGGAAGAAATTCCGCTTGTTGGTAGACGATAGCGTCTTATAAAAATAAAAGGTAAAAGTGCCAACTTTAGCTAATATAGAAATCCTAACGCCTGAATGTATTGGATTCATTTCTGTTACACTAGTACATTGCAACACTGGGAAGGTTTTACGCGCCCTGTCTGGCTAAATTCAGTTATAATTCAATTACTTGCATTTTTTTTTCAAATATTTGTATAGGCCATTTAGTGGACTTCATTCCCACACATCTTATTTTAAAATACTACATAGATTTCAGATTTTCTGAAGCAACCGCTAAATAGTAATATGTTCTCCTCAAATTTTTAGTAAAACGTTTTTGAAAATAAATGAATCAAATGGGAACGTAACTCGCTCAAAAGCAAACGAAAATATTAAGTCTACTGATGTGTCTAAACTGCAATGCTTGAATTGAAATATATTTTATTAATCATGTGAAAATCTGAAAAGTAAAATGACTCCTTAAGCGTGTGGGTAGAAGTAGAACTTAGAAATAATGTATTCAATGAAGAATTTTCACCCTTCTGTTGACGCGTGTGTGTGTGTGTGTGTGTGTGTGTGTGTGTGTGTGTGTTGTCTAAGGTTTTAATGAAGAGGACAACACCAATTTTAGTTTTATAATCTTTCAGCTACTTAAGAGGCTTCAGTAAGCAGCTTCTATAATTTCCAAGCTTCAGGTCATAGAACCCCCTAGAATAATGAAGTTGTCTAATCACGCGGGCTGGTTTCAGATTGCAAACCGCTTGCCTGCCTGCAGCTACAATAGCCAGTGTGTCAGTGTTTGCCAGCACCAAATGAAATTTGTGCTCTGTCGGGTTCCGTGTGTGACGATGCATTTATGCCATTTGAAACGTAAAAGCAAGTTCTTGGTTTATTCCCTCAGGTTGTTTTGTCCAAAAATAAATGTTTGACGACAAATAAATGTTGCATTCATGCCATGTACTAGAATTAGTTTTAGTCTATAACACTTTTAATTAAATGCTAGATTCTTAAAGTAAACATTGTATCGACATAGAAACCTGATGTTTTTCTACTGGAAATTAAAGTGGGTGTTATTATAATATGCTCTTTCGTCACATGCATACATTGTCAGGGGCGGAACTTACATACCGCCAGACCCGAAATGGGGAATGGGGGTGAGTTAGGGAAGGCCATTTAAAGGATCTCGAATTCCGACCAAAAACAATGAAACTTGTAATTGCAAAATTTTTTTTCGTACACTTCGATAGTGATTATTTTTCTGGGGGTTTAACCTCCCTTTATGTTAGAAACGCTAGCAATATTCCAAGAAAACAAGAGCATTACTGGGAACGACACAAAAATAAATAGATAAAACATCCTATCAAACAACAAGCAACACTCTTAAACACAAGAATTAGCTGGGGTAGGGAGCACATTTCAATACAGGTTAGGTAGACTATATATATATATATATATATATATATATATATATATATATATATATATATATATATATATATATATATATATATACATATAGTGTCGACTTTTGAACAATTTCCGGTAACCAACTCCGACACTTTAATCACCCGAACGAAATACAATTTATACGGAAAGTATTTACTTCATTGAAGATACATACTTTTAACAGTGTCAGTACCCGCTCCCGCGGGGAATATAATCCCCCCTCCCACACCTTCCCAAAAAAATTAATTTTAAGTTTCCCTCCCCCTTCCCCGAAGAAAAATATATGAAAGAAACACAATCTGCATGATTAAGGCTTAGCGGCCAAAAGTTGGAAACGGGTCTATATTATAGAAGTAGAGTCTACCTCTAATCTGTATGATCTACAAATGCGCCCAGTGTTTCTCTCAGACTTTTTTCCACACCGGAGGGGGGAGGGGACTTGAAATATTCTGGGGGGGGGGTGGACTAAATATTCTAAGGAGGGGAGGTCACTGATAAATGTATATTTTCCATATCAATTCCAATTCGACCAAGAGGCGGTCGACGTTCTTAGCTTAGGTGAGCGTAGGTTTAGGGGTACGATCACGACTATATTCAGTTTGAATATGCATTAACTGCGTGTAGATCAAAATTAAATCCGGTTAAAATGTCGTTTCTGGATAAAAAATCCGTTTTCAAGAACATTTTTCGTTTCCCGTTAAATTTGCAGCTGAGTTTGGGTTTTTGGTTTTGGTTTAGAGAAAAAGACAACACTATCAACCTAGCGCTTGTTGTATTTCTCCCTCAACGGGCCATTTATCAAGTATAAAAATAAATGTCGACTGCGGTTGGACACCATTCATCCGAGTGCCTTGAAACTTTGAGGAGTTGATGAGAAAGACACCATTCATCCGAGTGCCATAACAATCTGAGGGGTTGATGAGAATACTTCCGAGAATGTCTTATGGGCGGCGCACATGAGGGTGCAATTTTTGTCAAAAGACCGTTTGACGACAAATTTCAGAGCGGCCATCTTAGCACTTGGTATCCGTTAATTTGACGTCCTGCATTGCGTGTTACAGGTACGAATGTATTCAGCGGTAATGCTGCAACAGGCGCAGCCGCCGGTGACCGGCGATTGCGTGACTAGAAGTTTCCCGGGCTCTTCTGTAAGCACTATGGCGACTACGTTCGTTTTGGAAAAGGCTATACACCAAAGACACGATGGGCAACAATAGTCGTTGACTATATCCACTCAGGCGCGTCCTCCGGCAGGGGGCTATTAGGCGCCCCGGGCTCACCCGTGAGCACTATGGCGCCTACGTTCTTTTGAAAGAGTGCTATAGGCTATGGATGCAATGAATTTCTATGGTCGCTCACTAAATCTAAAGAAGCGCGTCCGCCACCACCACGGTACACTGAGATTTGGGGCCCAGGGCTATAATTTTAGCATTTTGGCGACTGAGTGAGTTTTAATGAGCACCCTACAATATTTACATGGTGGCACACGACATTCGATGATTAAACCGAGCCAGGGCCGTACTTCGCGCCCTTGTGGTAGTGTAGCGTGGGCTTCCGAGAGCGCGCCTCTACTTCCCTGAAATCTTGGCGGTTACCCAAGTATTTTCATACATTGTCTATCGCACTGTTTAAAACGAACATAGGCGCCATAGCGCCCAAGGGAAAGCCAGGGGCACCAAATCGCACCCTCCCGGGGACCACCCGTGCGAAATTGAATTTTTTTCTTTTTTCCCGCATAAAACTTATCGGGAGTATGTATTCTCATCAATTCCCCAAAGTTTCAAGGCACTCGGATGAATGGTGTGGAACCGCGTCTGAGTTTTATTTTTTATTTACCATATATTGAGAAAAATTACACGCTCGCTGGACGCCGACCATGTGAAATTTTAAAAAGTTTTTTGCAGAAACCTCTCTTGGAGTGTTCTCACCAACTACCCAAAGTTTCATGGCGATCGGTTGAAAAGTGTCAAACCGCAATCGACATTTATTTTTATATACAGCATATAGATATAGAGAAGAATCGAATCGCCACCCCCGCGAATTAGAATTTTTTAAATTTTTCTCAACCACTTTCCAAAGTTTCATAGCAATCGGATGAAATGTGTGGTAATGCATACAAGACATACACAAACACTTATACACACACGTACACACACACTCACACACATACATTGCATCTTGTCTGTCTGTCTGTCTGTCTGTCTGTCTGTCTGTCTGTCTGTCTGTCTGTCTGTCTGTCTGTCTGTCTGTCTGTCTGTCTGTCTGTCTGTCTGTCTGTCTGTCTGTCTGTCTGTCTGTCTGTCTGTCTGTCTGTCTGTCTGTCTGTCTGTCTGTCTGTCTGTCTGTCTATATATCTTCTATATCTATCTATCTATCTATATATATATATCTATATATCCATATCTATATCTATATCTATATCTATATCTATATCTATATCTATATCTATATCTATATCTATATCTATATCTATATCTATATCTATATCTATATCTATATCTATATCTATATCTATATCTATATCTATATCTATATCTATATCTATATCTATATCTATATCTATATCTATATCTATATCTATATCTATATCTATATCTATATCTATATCTATATCTATATCTATATCTATATCTATATCTATATCTATATCTATATCTATATCTATATCTATATCTATATCTATATCTATATCTATATCTATATCTATATCTATATCTATATCTATATCTATATCTATATCTATATCTATATCTATATCTATATCTATATCTATATCTATATCTATATCTATATCTATATCTATATCTATATCTATATCTATATCTATATCTATATCTATATCTATATCTATATCTATATCTATATCTATATCTATATCTATACCTATACCTATACCTATACCTATACCTATACCTATACCTATACCTATACCTATACCTATACCTATACCTATACCTATACCTATACCTATACCTATACCTATACCTATACCTATACCTATACCTATACCTATACCTATACCTATACCTATACCTATACCTATACCTATACCTATACCTATACCTATACCTATACCTATACCTATACCTATACCTATACCTATACCTATACCTATACCTATACCTATACCTATACCTATACCTATACCTATACCTATACCTATACCTATACCTATACCTATACCTATACCTATACCTATACCTATACCTATACCTATACCTATACCTATACCTATACCTATACCTATACCTATACCTATACCTATACCTATACCTATACCTATACCTATACCTATACCTATACCTATACCTATACCTATACCTATACCTATACCTATACCTATACCTATACCTATACCTATACCTATACCTATACCTATACCTATACCTATACCTATACC